ACTTTCTGGCATCCAGAACTGAATTGAATTGAGCTGAACTAGATTGAATTGAATATAACAGAACTAAATTGAACTGAATTGAACTGAACTGAATCGATCAGAAATGAATTGAGCTGCATTGCGCTGAACTGAATTAAACTGAACTGGATTCAGCATCATAAAGCTTTGCTAAACGGTTTATCCAGACTAAGATTAAGTCTGGTCTGGACTGAAACATAGTGTTCAGTGGACATTAACTGAACTTCCTCTGTATCTCTAAAGCTGGCTGATGGAGTTTGAACTCTGCAGTCTCAGACGTGTGTGTGTGTGTGTGTTCTCTGAAAAGGAGGAGAAGATTCAGCCAGAGCATCTTATCACTCACACACACAAAGAGCGTAAAGCCTCCTGATAAGTACTGCGGTTCACACCCTGCCGTCAGTCAGCGCTGCCTGCACTGCTCACTGCAGAGCTGATCCTCTCCTGAACTTAGGACGTGGTTCCTGCTCCCTCGCTGGTTCTGCTCTACAGAAACTGTTTAGTTCCCTAAACAGAGGAAACCTACATGAATCAGTACATTAGGCATTCAGAGTCTCGGTTCCTCTCTGTGGTTCTTCCTCGTGCTCTTAGAGAGGTTCTCCTTGTAAGTCTTGGGTCCTCTCAGTGGTTCTTCCTAAAGCTCTTAGAGAGTTTCTCCTTTTGAGTCTTGGTACTTCTCATCGGTTCTTCCTCATGATCTTAGAGAGGTTCTTGTTTTGAGTCTTGGTTCCTCCCAGAGGTTCTTCCTCATGCTCTTAGATAGGTTCTCCTTTTGAGTCTTGGCTCCTCTCTGTGGTCCTTCCTCATGCTCTTAGACAGGTTCTCCTTTTGAGTCATGCTTTCCTCTCTGTGGTTCTTCCTCATGCTCTTAGACAGGTTCCCCTTTTGCGTCTCGGTTCCTCTCTGTGGTTCTTCCTCATGCTCTTAGACAGGTTCCCGTTTTGAGTCTTGAGTCCTCTCAGTGGTTCTTCCTCATGCTCTTAGAGAGGTTCTTCTTTTGAGTCTTGGTACTTCTCAGAGGTTCTTTCTCATGCTCTTAGATAGGTTCTCCTTATGAGTCTTGGGTTCTCTGAGTGGTTCTTCTTTGTGTTCTTAGAGAAGCTCTCCCTATGTGCCTTGGTTCATCTCTGTGGTTCTTCCCCATGCTCTTAGTGAGTTTTCGCCTTTTCAGTCTTGGTTCCTTGTCCTTTGTTGGGAGTTCCTCGTGTTCTCCTTTTGAGCATTGGTTCCTCTCAGTGGTTCTTCTTTGGTTCTTCTCTTAGTAAGTTCCCCATGATCTCCTTTCGAGTCTTGGCTCCTCCTGTGGTTCTTCCTCATGCTCTCAAAGAGGTTCTCCTTTGGAGTCTTGGGTCCTTTCTGTGGTTCTTCCTCGTGCTCTTAGGGAGTTACTCCTGCTTGCTTCTGGTTCCTCCCAGTGGTTCTTCACAGCAGTCTGGCCTGGGTTGAACGTAAACGGTCACTGAATTGGCATTAGTTTGCAAACAGACTGCAGAAAAAAGCATAACCATCCGTCAGCCTCGTCTGCTGTAAGCTGAGGTTGGATGTGGAAGTGAATATTTGGTAATTAAATGTAAACTAATTAATATAAAGATAATTAAGTGTATGCAGGGAGGCTCTCTGTCTAAGCAAATACCAGTTATCCAGTGTGGGTGAATATTACTGACTGGCTGAGCCACACAGCGCCACTGCCCCCTCTGCTGGACACATGCAGTACTTACATGCCTCAGCGATTTATAACAGTTTATACAAATGGGTCATTCTACAGAAACGTCCATTTTTGTGTCCCTAGCGTTTACAGATATATTATACTTGAAAAACATGTCAGGGTTACAATTTCTTTATATTATAAAATACAACAATAAGTGATTTTGACAATTACACCTTCTTGAAACACTAATTTAGCAATATTGTTTTTTTAAATCAATTATATAGAATTCCAAGCTCTACAGAAGTGCTCATCCTTACAGTCATGTGTAAAGGCTGAGGCCATATTTTGGAGTAAAAAACACATTTTTTCTGCAATTTTAACTGCAATAATCTATAAAAGACCATCAAATGTATGATTTAAATGACATAAAGAAAACAAATGCAGAATAAATATTATAAAATATAGATGAAATTTGTGGTCCCCAGAAGTTGTGTCACTGGTGTTACTGCATAACAAAAAATCTCTTATTTTGAAATAAAAATCACACTGATGACATCACTTGACTTCCTTTTATCTATTTTCTGAGGAACTATGAAAAAAAGCACATGGTGAGTCAACTGTGTCTTTTCAGTTAGCAGAGATTTTCTCACTTAGCTCATGATTTCATATGAAGCTTTTAGTTGACGTCACTGGCGTGACCGACTTTATTCATAGGTAATCGTGAAGAAATAAAATACAAATGGATTAAGTTACATATTTTAGTGGAGATTCCATGATTGACAACATGTGGTTTGATGCTCTGTAGCAGCCATTTTGTAAAAAACCTTTTTTATATTAAAAATGTCTCTGGTGTTACCTTTCTTATGTGTAACACCAATGAGGAACACCAATGACTCCTATGGATAGACAGAAAAGTGGATGTTTCTGTAGAATGACCCAAATAATCAAAGATAGAGAGCATAAATATTATAATGAAGGTGCTTTATGATGGAATGGGGTACAACATTTTGACCCTTTGCCCTGGATATTTACTTTTTGTGTCTAAAAGTTTAAAAATCATTTTGACAATAAAGTATATAAATAATTAGGAGTGCAACTCTAATCCTGATTCTCTAGGAAAAGACATGAAATCTCACATTTCACCTTGATTTGATGTGATTATTTCATAATTATGATTTAAATATACTATTATAACACTAGTGGAATATTTAGAACAGGAACATACGAGTGTGTACTGTGATTATGATGTTCCTAAAATCAATGAGGTTGAATTGCCTCCAAAACATCAATGCATTATGATGAGTTTTAACACTCCTAATGATGGTGAAGTTTCCTGTTAACCAGAAAGCAACACTGACTCTACGTCATGTGAATCAGTCAGTTGGTGACTCATGATGAATCCTGGCACTGCAGCTGACCAGAGGGTTCAGCTGTGCGAAGGAAGTGATGCTCAGTTTCGTTCGGGGCGATTCCAGGAGGAGTAAACAGACATTTGTGGTCATTTGGGGATTTTTTTTTAGAGATAACTTACTTTGTAAACCTGCATTCGACACGACAGCTGGAGGAAAACAGTCAAACTTTCCGCTGCTGACACACATTTTATCAAAACAATTGTTTTTTTGTTTTTTTTGACAATCTCAAAATATTACTTCCAAATCTGAAGGATTATCTTTTATTTTCTTTCTTGTTCTGTATTGTCGTTCTATTTCACTGCAAAAAAATATTATCGTGGTGAGTGTGATTATCCTAAATCTGGTCAAGATATGTACTCGCTTAAACAAATATGGTTTTTTTTCAAGGGTTCTTTAGTAAAGGCAATGGTTCTCTTTAGAACCATGAGTTCTTTGCATGCTGAAACAGTTCTTCAGAATGATGGATAATGTGTTGTATATAGTTCTATATAGAACATTTTCAAAAATTCTATATAGCACCACAAAGTGTCCTTCTGCTGTAACAAGCTTGACATCATAACTGTAGAAGAACCCTTTTGGGGCTATATACAACCCTGTACAACACATACTCTATATAGAACCAATATCTTTACTAAAGAACCCTTGAAGAACCATCTTTTTAAGAGTGTAAATAAGTAAAAAAAAAAAACATTTGAAAACCAAACCTGTCATGTATTTTCTAATGTGCTGCCACCAGATGGCGCATGAGTTCACTTCTTCTGCCTCAGTATCGATTTATTTATTTATTTACATTGCAAAGGATTTTAATGATGAAAACAGATCGGTAAGAAAAGAGCAACAGTGTTTATCAGAATAGCCGCACTGCAAAGACAGACAGCACTAAAATAATTGCACTATCATAGTTTGTCCACTTGGTGTCGCCAGATTATAAAAACCCATGTCACTCTAACCTGCAGTTTTCAATGGAGGAGTAAACAAACTTAATATGGAGAGCACTAGTAGTGAGTTTGAGAGTAAGTACTTCAGTGTGTGGGTTCACTTGTTAACCTCCATCTTAGTCATCATACATATAAACATATACACACGATCAGGTAATGTTTTTATAGATCTGTATCCAAAATGAGGAGCTATTTAAAGTCAATTATAGACATTTACAACAACTTTAGAGCTGCTTAATAGTTTATCAATATTTACTTCACATGAAAAGCTTTTGTAGGCCATTTGCAGATATTCATTATAAATAAATGGCTTTTTAAAATGCTAATTATGTACATTTAGCCTGAATGAGCAGCCTTTGAGGGCCATTTTGCAGATATTTACCCCATAAAAGGCCATTAGCCTGAATTAAGAGCTCTATAGACATTTACCTTCATGTCAAGAGCTTTTAGGCCTACATGGATATATTCGCACCAAATTCAGAGCTTTTGAATGTTTTTACCTCGAGTGAGGAGCTTTTTGAAGCCTTTGTAGAAGTTCTACACAAATCAAGAGCTTGTGAAGACCACACTCACATTAACCCCAAATAAGCATTTTAAAGGCTACTTGTTGTCCTCTGTGCCAAAATTAAGAGCTTTTTGAATGTTATGCACAGATATGTACCCCAAACGAAACTCCTTTGCAGCATATTTGTGTTTTAACAAGACGGTTTTCCTTTAAGTGGTTTATTTCAATATGCGAAAAAGTGAACATATTCAAAAGAAGAAGAAAGAGTTTATAAAACTCAGCAGATACACATACAGTCTGCAGAAATGTAGAATCTCCACAAACATTTACAATTAACTCTATATTTATAGAGTTCACGTAATAGTCTCTACAATCCGTACAACTTTCCCTCCCCAACGCACCCACAAAAATGAAGAAAAACGAATATGTACACATTAAACACACACAAGAGTCAATGTCTGGAATAGGAGCTGCAGTGAGAAAGTGTGTGGGAGAAAGAGAAAGAGAAAAAAACTGACAGCCTGAATGAGTAGGTAGGGACTGAAGAAAGAGCGAAGTGAGTCTGAATGGTTTGGAATGTAACCAGGAATGCACAATGCTTGATTGTAGCATCACAAAAAAGGGGAATGATTTAAAAAGAAAAAGAAAAGAGAGTCTGTGGAAGAGCGTTTCCCCTCCAAACTCCAGAAGTCTTCAGCTTTGGTGTGTTGAAGTGTCCAGTGACCAAAGACTGGATGGTTTCAGCGGGGTGCAGGTTCTTTTCCCACAGTCTGAATGGAGACACTCCTCGTACGTGTCCAACCCCCTTCACTCCCTTCCTACCTCCCTCCTCCATCTCTTTCTGTCTCTCTCTCTCGTCCATGAGTGGAGAAGTTGCCATCCTGCACCTGCAACATAGATGGGAAAGAGAAGAAGTGAAGTCAGCGCCCCCTCAATCTCACACATACATACACAGTCCATTCAGGCTGCAGACAGTCTGGCACCAGCTGGAAAACTCTTCATTAAAAGCTGATGGGAGCGAAACTTCAGGACTTTGGCTTGGCTTACATTCAGCTTTCAAGGGGAATTCGACCCATCTTTCAAAATGTCTGTGTCATTAAGCGGTTAAGATGTAAACAGTCATTCAGAGTGGTTTGGTGTAATACTCATAATTGTTCACAGTGGTGGTGATAGGAACCAAACATCCACCTCCAAAGGCTCCCTCACAGAAAGTTAATACATGATATATGTTATGAATACACTGCCTGATTTAGACTCATGGTGGAGGGATACATGTGAGGCAAAATAGTCCCCAAAGAATTTTTTTTTCAGATTTTCCACTATTTTCCCATCATCAACATTCTACATAAAACTCAGAAGACTTGTGTAGGTTCACTGGTGGTTTTGGATAGTAAATAAAATGTCTATATTTGTGTTGTAGTCATGGAGACCCCTGGTTCCTATCACCACCGCTGTAAAGACCTCTGAACCATTTTAAACTGAACCACTCTGAAAGACTTTGTTGACATCTGAGTGGCTGAATTAGCCAGAAATTGAGAAATTGGTGGAATTATGCCTTAAAACAATTACATATCATGCCAGTGGTGAGATTTGCTTTCATAAATAAAAAAAAAAAAACTTTGCTAATCTGACAATAATGTGGAGATGCGTTTCTTTTCGTGATATCGAACATGCTAACAGGAATGAATGAGTTTTGTGACGCAACACAAACCGATTCACTGGAAGACGAGTTTACCTCACGATTAAGCGATCTGACTGCTGACTAACTAGTATTTTATCTGTAAGAAATACCACATTATTAACACTACTTCCTTTTTTTTTAAATCTGTTAAGAATAAGGTGAGTTTTAAATGCTTAAAGTCGTCAAAACAGCATGATTTAATTATGTCGACACGTCCAAAACATTACGAACATTGTGAACATTTAACTTTTTTTCTCCAAAAAGACTCTTTTAAGTCTCGAATAATCGTCGTTTGACTAATAATCCATCCAATTTCACCGTTTAATAAGCGAAAAAAACTTTCCTGTGAGGAATCGTTAGCACAAAGTGCTAACAGTCAACATAAAAACTGACCGTTGGAAGGCGCGAGCGCGCTGTTCGGTTGCCTTAGTGACAGAGAGTTCCGTCTTCTTTGGGGAACGTTATCTCGGAGCTCTGTCAGGGAAGAAACAGAGAAAAAACAAAATTAGCCTTAAATGTTGATTATTTTCTACAATAAAAGTTAATGACCATCAGATGTGATCGCATTTAGCCGCAGCGATCCCACTGAAGTTGGTTTTCCCTTCGCCAGCTTGTTCGAATTTTTCGTTCCACCTTAAATGGTGCAGTCAGAATGTAACTGCTGCACCATTTAAGGTGGAACGAGAAAATTCGAACAAAAAGGCAGCTGGCATGTTATCGATCACGTGTCCTACTATATCTTATTCCCTCTTAAATTGGCGCCTGAGGAGTTATACTAACTGCTGCACCATTTAAGGTGTCATGGGAAACTCGAATAAGAAGCGGACTCCAGCTCCGTGGTGCTGGCAGCTCACCTGCAGAGCCCTCAGCACGTCCGCCGAGTTTTTCACCGTATCCTCCTCGTTTTCCAGCGCGATCTGGAGGTCGAAGATGTAGTCGATCACATGCTGGAGGATCTCCACTTGGCTAACCGACTTGTCCTGCGGGATGCTGGGCACCAGCTCCTTCAGTTTCGAGTAGCAGTCGTTCATGTCCGACAGCTCGCAGGGGCTCCGGCTGCGGCTGATGGACAGACTCTGCTCGGAAACGCAGCAAACCGCCTCGTAGCAGCTTCTTACGGAGCGGACGGGACTGATAGCCTTCATTTTATTGATTTTTTTTTATCCGCAGATATCCAGAGAACAACTCTTCCAGCTCGCTTTCCAGTAGCACGTAAACCCAACTCTTCTCACTCCTTTTGAACTGTCAGTGAGGCGGGAGGGCTGCTTATATACTCGGGCTGTCGAAGCCCCGCCTCCTCTGCAAAAACAAACAAACGTTGAGCCAACGAGAGGGGAGTTATGCTAATTAGAGAGGCGTTCTAACTCGCTATTGGGCGCGCAGCTGTGCCAGTCAGACGCCCGCTGGTTAGAATGGGGAGAGTAAGCTGTGCTGAAATGTATATGGGCGAATATCACATCCGTGGACACTGGAGATCAGTGAACCCAAACGGCTGTGGGTCAATAAGAGCATTAAGCTAGGGGGAAAAAAACACGGCTGGAAAGCTGGATTGATCGGTTTCTTTAGTTCTTAAGTGGCCAATATCATTAACAATTGGCTAGCAAGTTTACTCAAAGGAGAATCCCACCGATTTTTCAAAAATTCTGCATAATTCAACATTTTGAGATGTAAACCAAGTTATTTATAGTGGTATGGTGGGAACAGATGCATCGTATAGAAACACACACTTAAAAAAGATGGTCCTTCAGGGGTACTTTGGTAAAGGCTGGGGTTCTATTTACAACCATGAGTTCTATATGGAACCATTTGTATGCTTAAATGATTCTTTGCATGGTGAAATGATTCTTCAAATTGATGGATGATGAATGTGTTGTAAATGATTCAGTATAGCACCAACAAGGGTTCCGCTATTGTTCCAAGGTTGACATCGGAACAATAACAGAACCCCTTTTGAAACCCGGTCAAGGTTGCATATTGGATGGCCCCCTGGTTCCACTACCAGTGTGAAGAAAGCTGAGTCAGTACACCATTAAAAAAGATGGTTCTTTAAGGGTTCTTTAGTAAAGGCAATGAACACACATAATGGGTTCTCTGCATCAGGGAAAGGTTCTTTAGATTGATTGAGAATGTGTTTTTTAAAAATTGTTCAAGATAGATTGCCCTCACTGAAGAACCCCTTAAACAACCATTTTTTTAAGAGTGTACAGACTCAGCTTTCTTCAGAGTGGCGGTGGACCAGGGGTCCATCAAAAACCTCCACATGTGTCAGTTTTTTATGTGACCTTGACAGGCTAAAAATAGTAGCAACCATTTCAAGTAATAACTTTCTGTGAGGGAGCTTTTAGAGGTGGACGTCTGGTTCCTATCACCACCACTGTGAACAATTCAAACTGGTACGTTTCTCTAGAACGGAGCGTTTCACACCAAACCACTCTGAATGACTCTGTTTACATAGTAACAATGTAATTATGCAGAGATTTTGAAACGTCGGTGGACTTGCCCTTTAAGAGTTCACTGATATGACTAGAAAAAGCTATAATAAAAACACAGCGCGGGGTTAATTGGGTGTCATTGTAAAGAGGATTCATGCTTTAAACACGTAAATCTGTTACTCCCATGACCAGCAGACACACTGGCGTCAGGAACACCACACACACACACACACACACACACACACACACACACACACACACACACAGATAATTCAATCGGATAAAGGTGAGGTCACAAGAACCATCTGGTTAAGTGAAAATAAGTTTTACTCTTTTTTTTTACTCTGAAAATCAATGCGAGGTGGCAGAAACTTCATAAATATTCATAAACAGTCATTAATATTCATAATTGGCGGTACGTTCTAGAACCGTTACGTGCGTTCTATTAATAGCTCAGAACTAAACTTGTGTTTGTGTGAAAATAGAGCAAGAAATGTGAGAGTTGTCACCGGAGTCCTCCTTTTCTCCCCTTTATCCCTCTCTTTTTCCTTTCTTTCTTTATTTATGGTTTATTTCAGACTGTCTCTCTCTCTCTCTCTCTCTCTCTCTCTCTCCCCCCTTTCGTTCTGTCTCTGTTCTCTCTCTCTTTCTTTCTGTCTGTTCTCTCTCTCTCTTTCTTTCTGTCTGTTGTCTCTCCCTCTTTCTTTTTCTCTCTGTATCTGTTCTCTGACTTTCTATCTCTCTATCTGTTCTCTCTCCCTCTCTCTTTTCTCACACTGCTGTTTCTGTGTGTTTCTGATGGAATGCGCTCGCGGCCCAGCTGTGTTGATCTAACGCGCGAGACCCAGACACAGTGGCGCCAGGCGCGCGACGTCATCCGTTCACGCCCCCACCCCCGACCAACCGCACCCCCCCCGCACCCTCGTTGGCTAACATAAACGTCACTCAAGAGACGAGGCCCCGCCCATGCTCTGTTCATCAGCACCTGGATTCCCAATCGATTCAGTGAACGTGTGAATCAGTTGGGCGCGGCTGCTGAAAAGAGAACCGTTTCAAAGGAGTCATTCACGAGTCGAATGCTGCTCATTTAAAGGATGGATGGAGTTCTACAGGCTGGGAGTCAGTGATCTTATGCATTCTATGTATTTTATATATTCTATTTTCATCTTTATTTTATCTCATTTTTATTTATATGTTTATTTTCTGTCTTATTTGCTATTTCTGTTTTTGTGTTCAATCTCATGTGAAGCACTCTTCCTATTATTAGATGACTCGCTCTCCTCATTTCTTGGTTCATTGGTACCCAAAAATGATTCTCCTTAAAATATTTGAAAATTCGCACCATTTTTGAGCTGTTTATGTCTCTTGGTTGGCTTTTGGCTGCACGCGCCTGAAACAGCTCACAGATGACCAAAGGCCAGGCCTGAGGACAGAAGAGCTGTTTTCCTCAGTAATGAATGAGGCACACTTTAAGTAAAGATGGTCTTGAAGGAAAATCTGTTCACTAATTTGGCTGCAGGATAAAATATAGACTTGTATCTGACTAGTCATAGCAAAAGTTCAGTAAATGAAACATTAATTATCTACATATGTCAATAAGATAAAATGTCCTAAAAAATCACTGCTAGTGAATCATTTAACCTCCGTTCACCCGGGCCTGATAAATCTGCTTGCTTAATTAAAACCCTCAGACATTAAACTGAATCATCTGAGCTCAGGCGAGCAGAAGGGATCAGATAAGGACATGTTTCTCGCACAAGGTTTTGTTGTTGTTGTTATTTATTCTTGGAGTCCAGGACTCTTAAGCTTGTGTGATATCAGTGTGTGAGGATCAGGTGCCCCTTGCACTCAGTTGTGGACTACAGTGGCCTGCAGAGTCATAAGACAAGAGCAAGAGCAAGAGCAAAGCAAACTGAAGGGAACCTTAAAGGAGCGATATGTAAGATGACACGACCTGTCGAATTCATACTCCACACAGTCCCTCCTCCCTCTTTACTCCTCCCCCCTGTTTACTTACCAGTCCAGAAGAAATGCTGCGAGTTCAGAATCAAACATCCTCCCTGTTTAAGTCACTCCTTTTCTATCTGGTTTCTTGCCAGGAGTGACTACTTCATACTCTCATGTTGGACTGATGGCAGACTTGATGCTACAGTGACTCACTATCGCCTCCTAGGTACAAAGTGGTATGATACGGAGCCCTGCTGGTGACGTCCTGTATGAATAAAGATAATGCGTGGCCATGACTTAGTAAGGCATGGGAACAAGATAATTAAGTCATGGCCATGACTTTAGTAAGGTGTGGGAACAAGATAATTCAGCCGTGGCCATGACTTAGTAAGGTGTGGGAACAAGATAATTAAGTCATGGCCATGACTTAGGCAGGGGAACAAGATAATTAAGTCGTGGCCATGAATTAGTAACGTGGGGGAACAAGATAATTAAGTCATGGCCATCACTTAGTAAGGCATGGGAATGAGATAATTAAGACAAGGCCACAACTTAGTAAGGTGTGGGAACAAGACAATTAAGTCATGGCCACGACTTAGTAAGGCATGGGAACAAGATAATTAAGTCATGGCCATGACTTTAGTAAGGTGTGGGAACAAGATAATTGAGTCATGGCCATGACTTAGGCAGGGGAACAAGATAATTAAGTCATGGCCATGAATTAGTAAAGTAGGGGAACAAGATAATTAAGTCATGGCCATCACTTAGTAAGGCATGGGAATGAGATAATTAAGACAAGGCCACAACTTAGTAAGGCATGGGAACCAGACAATTAAGTTGTGGCCACGACTTAATAAGACGTGGGAACAAGATAATTAAGTCATGGCCAAGGCTTAGTAAGCTGTGGGAACGAGATCCTAACGCATGGCCATGATTTAGTAAGGTGTGGGAACAAGATAATTAAGTCTTGACCACAGTTTAATAAGGTATGATATCATTCTCATGCCTTACTAAGTTGCGGCCACGTATTAGGACCCACGCGTTAATACAAACTGGCCACGCATTTTTTTATACGTGATGTCACCAGCAGGGCTCCGTAGCATTATGAGTAACTTCAGTAGATATCTCTGCAGCTCAGTACATGGACGTCTCTGTCATAATGTCAAAACTGTTATTTCTTCACATTCTGTTGATAATTTTAATTAATTTAAACAAAATTTTTTTTAAACAAAAAATTCTACAAATTGCTCCTTTTAATACATTAAGTGAAAATCAAATGATATTGTCAGAAGTGAAAAAGCTGCAAGCACAACACTGAAAGCTTAAACTCTGATGCTAATCGACAAAAACAGCAATACGCTGTTTTGAATCTTTTATAAAAACACGGTTTTTGACAGTGTTCACAGTGGAAGTGCTCCAGGCCACTATGGGCAGTGTACTCTAGCTATCTAGGTTAAAGTGGTTTATGATAGCAAGCTAAAATACTTACTTAAAATACAAGTTAAGCATCTTTATAACAGCTAGTAAATCACTATAGTGTCTAAATGTTACCTTAACTACATTTAACGCTGAGCAATAAATCTTCCTAATTGACTAGTTTTCTCCCTCTCAGGTGGCAGAACACAAGATGTTTAACTGGAGCTAGTACAGTCAAAATATAAGCAAAATGGTTAAATATGATTTTTTTTGCTAATATATGGTCTGTCGGACTAGTAGGTAAATAACAGTTTAATGCTAGAAATATAGAGTTAGTACGGCAAGAACACTAGCTGTGAAGCTAATAGGTTAATAAAGATTTTATGCTAAAAATACAGGCTATTCAGATCACAGGCTCGTAATTTTAGGCCATTTTTAAAATT